ACCCAAGGCAGCGAGGTTTGAGCAATTTTAAAATTCCTTAACATACATTTTTTCATTCATGTTGTAGGGAGGGACTGGGTTGGCTCCTCCTGAATAAAAGAACTAATCAAAATAAGGCTTATTTTCAAACTTCATTTGTCCCTGGGTGTGGACAACAAATGACACTAATCAGATTGACATAAATGATTTAACCTTTGTTTAGGGAGGCAAATGCAAAGCATTTACTCCCAAGTGTCATTGGTTTAGGGAAGATAGGATTTCTGCTCAGTTTCCCCTGTTCTACTTATCCCAGCTTACTGGTCTATCATGCATTCAATTTTCTTAAAATGTATTCTGGCACAGGAGAAAGTTGCTTTGCTGTACACAGGTAGCTTCACCCCTATACAACTGGGCTTGGACCTCTGCCCAGCAAACTGCAGTCTATAAGTTCAATATGCAGCCTCCAGTTCTCCTAACCCAACGAGGTTTCGGCCAGTCTCTGAGTCAGACTCCTCCTCTCTTGGAGAATTTCAAAGTCCTCATGGCTCCCAGGTCCAGGGAGAGTGCCCTTTTGTTAACCCTTAGGGCCCTGCTTTCTTGCCTTTCTACCAGTTTCCTTCGTGGCAGAGCAGCAACCAGGCCTCTTTCAAGAAAGTGCACTAAAAGGGGATATCAGCCCCTCCTGTGATCCAGCTGCTCTGCCTAGGGTCTCCCAGGGGCTCGGCCAGAGCGTCCTCCAGCAAATCCCAGAAGCCGCTGCCCTTTTGCAGTGGTATGGACTCAAGCAGGGGGTTCACTGGATGTAGCCGGCAGTGAAGCACTCGCTGGCTTCTGCCTGCAGCTGCTCGTGCCCACAAGCCCGGCCCCGCAGCACTCCCGCAGCACGCGCTGCACCGTCAGCTCCAGCACCTCGGCGTTCTCCAGCTTAGCCTGCACCTGCACTGGCGGGGGTGCCAGGTGGGGAGGGAGGTGAGGCCAGGCTATGCCCTGACCCCCATCCGCTCGCTCAGCATCCCCTGGGCACCGGCCCTCCAGCCTCACCTTGGTGCCTGCCAGCAGCTGCCACAGCTCTTGTAGGCTCTTGTTGATCCGTGTGCCGCTTCTTCTCAACCAGGGGCTTCCAGGCCTTGCAGGCAGCTCAGCCCCCCCCCCCTCCCCCCCCGGATTACTTTTACTCTTGAGATATATCTAGACCTTTTGTGATAAAACTAAGAATAGGTATCAGTCTAATTTAGCATTGGAAGGGTTAAAAAGAATAACCCAGGGCAGAGAAAGGCTACTGTGTTTACAGTTACTTTTTGTGACCTTGAAGTTCATTGATAAGACCTGTTAGGTCTGCAGCCAGTAACTTAACTGCCAACACCCCCGCCTCCCTTGTCTCAGCCCAGGCCCATTGCTTTTCCTCACAGAGTCGGCCTGGAAATATAACGGGTGCATAGGGAGGTTTCTTGCAGACAGAAAGCCTGGAGACCATCTGAAATCAGTTACAGATGCTTTCAGAATCCGGATGAGGGAGGAAGGGAAAGACCAGGTTATGCCCTCTATGAGGATTCTAATAAACAATTGAAAACAGCAAGTTAAACAAAATGCAGTCACAGGCAGTAAATATCTCCTCCCTGCGGAGCTGTGTCCACCAAAGAGATAAAAAAAAAACATGAATAACAAGTTCTTTGAAATTTGCTGCTTTGTTAATTTGCTAAGCAAATAGTTAACTTGAAAAGACTTCTTCCTTGCTTTTTTATAAGCAATCTTAGAACTAAGCAATCTTGGAACCTAGCCAGCCTTTGTTAAACTTCTTTGGGTTGCAACATTATACCTTTAAATTAATCCTAGATTTTTAAAATTTTAACCTGATACAGCAAAATTATACCTCAGAATAAAGCAATTAAAAGTTCTCTACTGTCTTCCCCTTAAAGCAGGGTTTTTCCTTATGTGTACAGCCAGACAGCACAAAGTAGCTTTCGCTTTACACAGACCAGTTCCAGTCCCCCTTGTCTGTAGTAAATTGGCTAGTCCCACACAAACAAACTTTGTCCTGACCCCATGATGATCGGTGATGAGAGACAGACAAGGGAGGGGGTGACCTGTTTTCACAGATCCACACTCAGATGCATGCCTGACCAAAGTTGTGGAGCCACAAAAAGGAGAGAAGAGGACAGGCCCCCTCCCTCCACACTCACACACTTTCACCAGACATACCACAACACACAGTTTTTCCCAATTCAATCAGAATCTTAAACTTTTAGCAGGCAAGTCAAATATTCAGCATTTCTCAATCAGTAACATTTTTAAGAATAAACTTCAAAAATGCAAGACATAAGTTTTTTTATCATTTGAATTCAGTAAGCTTCAAGGTCCCAAGTTCCCAGCGGTTCTGGAAAACCACACCTGAGGCTGACAAGCAGGTTTGGCCCAGCCCTTGACTTTAAAATGACCATAATGCTTAAAGGAGTAGTTTGAGTCTGTCCCATAATGTCCGTCCAGTAAGTCCACAGAAAACAGAAAAAAAAAACAACAAAATACAAACACAGACAAATACAGACTTCCAACTCTATGAAAGCAAACCCAAAACAACCTTCCGACTCCGCAGAAGCAAAACTACAAATTAGACGATGGCCATGCGCCAACTGGTGGGAGCGACCTGCCTCATCTCAGATTGAGGGGTTTCTCTGCCCCTCCAGATGGAGGATCGGGGTGTCCCCCAACTCCTCCCGCCCATGGCCCCCCAGTGCATCCACCTAGGCTGTTACAGGCACTACAGATTTCAGAAGTGAGCTCACACAGGACAGAACACACAGAACAGAATAGACAAGACACAGACATTTACTGCGGTCAGTCAGACTCTCTGGATCAGGGTCCCTTGTGAGTCTTGGGGGTCCCGCACGAGCCCCCAAATGTTATGCCCAGATTTCAATACCCCCTACAGAACCACCAGGGAGCGCCAAGTCTGATGCAAAAGCATAGAGTCTTTTATTCAAGCCCGGGACTTGGTCCCCCCTCCCCACCCTTGCCTCCATTACTGGATGCAAGAGAGTGCCCTGAGTCCCAAGGGAACAAAGAATTTATAGGGCTTGGGGTCAGGAGCGGGGTGGTGGGAGCACACTCTGACCACTGATTTGGCCGATTCTGGTTGGTTGAGTGAGGGCCGGGGGCTAGTGACACAAGGGCAGGGTGCAGCTAGGGTCTGGTTACACAAAGACAGGGGGGTGGCTAGCATACTCTTGGCCTTGGGCTAGTTTCCCCTGCTTTCCCATTGGCCGAGATAAGGGCAGGCTGAGTAACTGATACATTCTGCGGCTTTTTCTTGGAAGAAGGGTTAAGGACACAGCTATCAGTCCTGTTCTGTCCTTTCAGCAGGACGGAGGGAGATGGGCCCTTGGAAACTCAGGGGTTTGATTCAACAGAAATAAAGCTTCTCCAGTGCCTCATCCTCCTGTGGGGCCCCAGGACATTTTTGTTCCTGTGGCACTACAAGAACTCCACTCCCACCAGCAACAGGTGGAGACTTGTAGAGCACCCCACCGATCACACACCCAGAGCAAAGTAAAGGTTATTATCATTCTTTTTATGACAAGTGCTTTCAAACAGGGACTTTGCACTTTTTCTCCTCCTGAGAAAGCTTTCTTTCCCCCACCCTTTCCTCCAGATCAGAGACTCAACTGCAATGAAGACCTAAGGAGGGCCTTTGTTCTGTGGTTTTCAGCTGAAAGTGCCAACTGTAAGTGGGGGAGTTGGTAAAAGCCAGGGCCCCAGGTCTCTTTAGGAGAGAGGCTGATAAGCTGGGTGAGCCTGCAGGTGAGGACACGATGAAACCTGGTTGGCTGGGCAAGGTAAGGCCTCAACTTAGAAATCTGTAGGGGGGAAGAAACCGGAATGAGTGAGCTTGACAACTGCATGTTCCTAAGAACTTACTGTGGTCATTAAGGCCTCTGACAGGCTCTCCTGCTTCTCTCTGGGATGTGTTCTAAGAGATTCTAAAAGACAGGTTGATACTGAACCCAGGTTCAACTGCCTGCCACTTGAAAGACCACATAGAGATCATGGGACTGGTGGGAGGAATGTTGGTTTATTCTAGAGCTTGCAGCTTCAGAAGATGGTAGACTCATGCTGCAAAGACAGTTGGACACGGGCAGGCATTTTTGTAAGGAAGAGGAGAGGCAGGAAGAACAATAAAGGAATAAAAAGGAGAGGGGTTGAGAGTTCTCCATTGAGGGGACTAAGTGCAAGCCAACACAGTCTGTGCAGATTACTGGTTGAAGGTCAGCAAATCTTCCGGAGATGGAATGTCTGAAGGTTGGAGTCTGCTTTTCCTGAAGTTAGTTCCTAGAATTCTTAAGTGAACAGGCTGTTTATGTGTAGTCACATTTACAGAAATAATGTTAAAATAATGGTGGGGTGAGTTACTTGATGTGCGGCTTAAAGATTTATATGAAAAGGTGTTCATTACAGAACATTGGACAGCAGAGCCCAGGACTCCCAGATGGCCAAGGCCAAGGGACGGACACTTCAGGTTACAGACTTTAGGGTGGTTTTCCATGTTGGAGTCAAAGATGAAGAGACTCCCAAGCAGACATTTCAGAGGAGGCTCTGGGGCCACCAGTGATGGGGTTAAACCAGGAGTCGGCCCTGGGGAGACAGAGGTCTCATGTGGATTCTCCATCTTCCTCCAGGTCGTCATTTCTACCAGCTCCTTCTGGTGTCTCTGTGTCTGCACAACAGCCCACAATGGTGAGGTCCCTGGCCTTCCATTTGCTCCACCTGCCTGTCTTCCTCCCCTTGGTCCAGCTGCTCACGCCCTGCTCAGGTAAGGACCATCTGCATTTATGTACCTGGAGCAGTTACCTATATGCCCAGTCAGAACCTTGGACTCCTTACCAAACCTGGGAGGCCCAGCCAGCTGTACACCTGTCAGAACTGAGTCCCTTTCTAGATGTTTCTTACCTCACCCTCCCTGCCTGGGACACCCCCTTACCCTCTGGCCTCCAGCTTCCTCTGATGGAGCACCCCTTTCTGCTGACCAGCTCAGTTTGCTGTGATTGGACCCCCTGAGCCCATCCTGGCCATGGTGGGTGAAGTCGCTGAGCTGCCCTGTCACCTGTTCCCGAAGATGAGCGCTGAGACCATGGAGCTGACGTGGCTGCGATCCGGCCTCAGGCAGGTGGTGCGTGCATATGCAGACGGCAAGGAAGGAACAGAGATAGCAGAGTATCGAGGGAGAACCTCCATTTTAAGAGAGGACATCGCTGAGGGGAAGGCTGCTCTGCGGATTCACAAGGTCAGAGCCTCTGACACTGGAACCTACCAGTGTTATTTCCAAGATGCCAAGTTCTATCAAAAAGCCCTGGTGGAGCTGAAGGTTGCAGGTGAGTCTGAGGCTGTTCTGAGCTCCTTCTTCTGTGGGGCCTGGGGACACAGGCTCCTAGCCCACCTCACAGACCTCTGCCTACACCCCAGCAGCTGCCTCCCTCCTCTACCTCTGCTTCTCTGGGCCCTTGACAGACACAGGATTTCCTGCAGGAAGGCCTCCTCCTGAACCAAGTGAAGACGTCCCTCCTGCAGCCACCAGGGTCTCAGCAGGGATGTGGGGTTGGGGCAGAAAGACTGAGAAAACCTCCCCTCAGTGGGGGGCGCACAGTTGAGTGGGGTCAGCTGTGATCCAGGCAGTGGACCTGGCCCCCCCAGGTGCTCGCTACTGTGGGTCCCGGGAGGCTGAGCAGCAGGGACATCACCTGTGCTGCCATTTCTGTCAACCAAAGGCTCAAAGATCACACCTGCAATTGAACAAGTTGTGTTTAGTACTAGTTGCAGTGAGGAGAACACACAATGTGGAAACATGGGGTGTCCCCATGAGGGGGTGTCAGGGAGACTTGGTATAACTTTTGGGCTGATAGGGGACTAGGGGAGGGTTTATGGAAGGAGGGCTTTGCTCTGGATCAGGTTCTGTCAGGAGGGTGTGGGGTTTAACTGGTCACTCACACCTAGGACAGGGGATGATTGCTCACTGCTGTGGTCTGCACACTGTTCATGTTTTATTCTGTGTTCCCATCTGATGACTGAGTGGTCTTGTTTTGTCCTGACCCATCACAGGGACAAAGCATCCTTGTCTGATGCTGCTGTTCCATGACATTGTTCATGTCCAACATCATTTCTCTTTCTCAGGGCACAGCCCTGCCTTGCACAGGAAGGAAGGAAGGTGGGGGTGGGAGGTCCTGGCTTTCTCTCTGCAGGGCCTCCTCAGCCAACTACAGTCCCTTCCTGAGACCACAGCTCCTCTTAAGAAATCCCTCCCTACAGGACTGGGTTCTTCCAAGTCTTCAAAAGGCTTCCTCCCACCCCCTGACTCCCTCAGGTTAAGAGTTTAGGGACTGGTGGTGACAGCTCACTGCTCCTGGCCCTGGGTCAGCTCTCTCCCATGTAGTCTTTCCCCTTCCACAACCACAAAATAAAAATTCCCTGAGTCCAAAGACCCAAAAAAGAGGCTGTAAACTCTAGATTAATGATATCAAGAGTTCACCACGGTGACTCTCATACCAGGAACAGCGTGGGCTGCAGCAATAGAACGTGCATATCCTCCCCACCACCTGGCAAAGCCTAAAGCTCACACAGGACAGGCAGGATAGATAGGGGACTGGGGCTTGACCCGCCCAGATAAGGGGAATGACTTACATGCCTAGGGCGGGTGAGGGCCAGTTCCAGGAACCAGCACTGGGCAGGGGGAGGGTACAGGTGTCTCTGAGGGGATCCATGGGAAGCAGTCTCTGTTCTGGCCCAGATCCAGCTGGATCTAGCTCAAGGGTTCATGAGGGTCAGGCAGTGGTCACATCATGGAACAGTCTCCCCTGCACAGCACACGTGGCAAACAGCTCCTTAGTGAACCCTGCCTGCGTGATCTAGTGGAGTGAGCCCCCGTTCCTGATGGACCCTCACCAACACAGAGGCCTCCCCATGACTCAGGCTCACTCTTCCTTCCCCAGCCCTGGGCTCTGATCTTCACCTTGAAATGAAGGGCTATGAGGATGGAGGGATCCGTGTGGAGTGCACGTCTGCAGGCTGGTATCCGCAGCCCCATGTAGAGTGGAGAGGTGAAGGGGGAGAGAGCTTGCCCGCCATGGCAGTGCCTGGGGCTGCAGATGGAGAGGGTCTGTATGCAGTCACATCATCTGTGATCCTGAAAGGCGGCTCTGGGAAGGGGGTCTCCTGTGTCATCAGAAACCCCCTGCTCAGCCAGGAGAAGACAGCCAGGGTCTCCATTGCAGGTGAGTGCCTGGCCCCACACTGTGTTCAGCTGTGGCCACTGGGAGAAGGAGGCCTGAGTGTCTGCTGCTGACCTGGGTCTGTGCAGTGAACATAAGGCTCAGAGCAGGGACCTGGGTGCCCTTTGCCCCTTGAAGCTGTTGATGTCACAGACATTTTCTGAGCATCCCTGCTGCCTCCACCTGGGACAGGCGATGGGGAAGGGGCAAATGGTAAAGGTCAGCAAACACATGACAAAGTGGGGAAAGTATGTGCAGACACGTCCTGGAGAAAGGGCTGAACTCCTCAAAACATGAAACAGCTCAGTACAGAAATGAACGGTTCCCAGAAGCAAATACCTTGGGGAAGGATGTCCAGTCTCACTGAGCAGGGAGACGTTTCCACCTGTGAGATGGGCAGCAAACAAACCATGTAGTTGGTATCACTGATGGCAGGACTGTGGGGAGACAGTCACTCTTAGACGTGTGTTGCTATAATTTGGTATATTTTTGTATAAATTGATGCAGCTTATATTGGGGGTCAATAGAACAATCTTAATCCAAACTATTTATTTACTGACCCAAAATCCCAGTTCTAGGAATTTATCTGAAAGGTCACCTCTGGTTTGTGTGAAATAACTGATGGACAAAGTTATTTCTTTTTAAAAACTATATTTTATTGATTTCAAAGAGGAAGGGAGAGGGAGAGAAAGAGAGGAACATCAATGATGTGAGGGAATCTTCGGTTGCCACCTGCACACCCCACACTGGGACCAAACCTACAACCCAAGCTTGTGCCTTTGACCAGAATCAAACCTGGGACCCTTCAGTCCACAGGCCAATGCTCTATCCACTGAGCCAAACCAGCCAGGGCACAATTTTATTTCTTAGGGCATCAATAGTCAGACAATAGTCTGAGACTGTTCAAATGCCATCCATGGGGACTCCTGTGCAGTGGAGGCTGCCCTGTGGGAGGAAACACAGACGTGCTCTCCATGCCGAGAGGGAAAGGTCCCCAGGACCCACGATGCACTGAGGATTGAGCTGCAGAGCAACTTGAGTAGATGCTGCCTGTGGTGTAAGTGAGTAAAATAAGAAGATGTCTAATTATATATATATATTTATTTATTTGACAGGTTCCAGTCCAGGCATTATTATTATTTCAATGTAATGCAATTTCTTTCTTTGTTTTTCTATTGACTAAAGTTTTCCATTTGTCTCCTTTTTCCCCGATTGACAGCCTCCCAGCCATTCCTACCCTGGCAAACCCCCACCGCCCCAGTGTCTGTGTCCATTGGTTATGCTGATATGCATGCATACAAGTTCTTTGGTTGCTCTCTAGCCCCCCACCTCCCCTGCCATTTGTCTCTGGATCTATTTTTGTTCATCAAATTATGTTGATCATTATATCCCACGTATGAGTGAGATCATGTTATGCTTATCCTTCTCTGACTGGCTTATTCCGCTTATAATAATGTTCTCCAGTTCCATCCATGCTGTTGCAAATGGTAAACGTTCGTTCATTTTTATAGCAGCATAGTATTTCATTGTGTAGATGTACCACAGTTGTTGTTTTTTTTAGTATACATGCTGCTGAAGCGAGCACTGTACCACAGTTTTTTAATCCACTCATCTGCTGATGGGCACTTAGGTTGTTTCCAAATCTTAACTATTGTAAATTGTGCTGCTATGAACATAGGGGTGCATATATCCGTTCTGATTGGTATTTCTGGTTTCTTGGGATATAGTCCTAGAAGTGGGATCACTGGGTCCAATGGGAGTTCCACTTTTAACTTTTTGAGGAAACTCCATACTGTCTTCCACAGTTGCTGCACCAGTCTGCATTCCCACCAGCAGTGCACGAGGGTTCCTTGTTCTCCACATCCTCGCCAGCACTTGTTGTCTGTTGATTTTTTGATGATAGCCATTCTGACAGGTGTGAGATGGTACCTCATTGTTGTTTTGATTTGCATCTCTCAGATGATTAGTGACTTTGCGAATGTTTTCATATGTCTCTGGGCCTTCTGTATGTCCTCTTTAAAGAAGTATCTACTTAGGTCCTTTGCCCATTTTTTGATTGGGTTGTTTATCTTCCTTTTGTTAAGTTGTATGAGTTCTCTGTAAATTTTGGAGATTAAACCCTTATCTGAAATAGCATTGGCAAATATGTTCTCCCTTGCAGTGGGCTTTCTTGTTTTGTTGATGGTTTCTTTTGCTGTGCAGAAGCTTTTATTTTGATGTAGCCCCATTTGTTTACTTTCTCCTTAGTCTCCA